CTGCAAAACTCATTTACAGATTGAAAGGGTCGAAAATGTATGAAGTTAACATTCAGGTGAAATGATTGCACTCATAATGGAAAATATTTAGTTTGTTCTAGACTTAGAGACCTAACGTTTCTTTTTCCCGCGTTCTTCTAGCTTTATCACCGAAATATTCGGTGGTGGCTAAAACATGCATAAACATTAAGAAGATGGCAGAAACTCGTACCCTGGATGCAGCGTAAACCAAACTTGGTATGCGTTTATGCAAATTTACTGTTTTTAAGTACATAAAATGATTTCGTATAAAAGAACATGACCGTTTAGTGAGGTTCACTTGTTAGAAAAGTCAGAGCTCCCCATATCCTAACTCATCTAGCTTTCGTCAGGTGAATGCTAGCTTATTTTGTGCCAATAAAAGTCGTTGCCTTGACCCATGAGCCGCTGGAGGGAGGGGGGAGCTTAAGTCGCCCCCTTTACGTTTGGTGTGATTTTTCCGAAATCTGATAACACATGAACTTGGTACTTGATATAGCTTCACATGAATACCTAGGCCATATTTGAGGAAAGTTTGGTGATTGCAGCACCTAGGATGACGTCATGAAGTATTCTCGTTTTCCGATATGGAGCATTTCTGACGTCACTGACCATGAAACGTAACGGTAAATGAAATATACGGCACCTGCTGTCCTTTAGGTCAATCTAGGTAGCTTTTCGACTAGTTCCTGCCCAGTGCCCAGGGATGGGTACCTAACTCAGAATCGGAGAACTATCGCAAACAATCGGAAATTAAAAACGCAAATATATTATTAGACATCTGACGTAAATGTGACATCATTTCAAATGACATCAACGCAGAAGTTTAACACAGCTAAGGCTAACTATTCAGATATATAAAAAGAGACATCAAGTTGCCCTACCACCCCCTCACCCCCGCGGTTGGTAGATGGCGCAGAGGCCAGTGACCGCCGGGTAAGTAAAGGTCTACGCTGTACTGCAATTATCTACACATTTTTTTTCACCGGATTTCGGAACAAAAGAAAAATCTGCTCCTTTTCCTTTTGATTAAAATGTAGTAGGCTTCCACAATAACTAATGCGCTAGTGCATAAGCCACCAGGGTCTCCAACACTCTGGGGTTCTCCAACACACTGGGCTTGATGCGAACCGACGCTTCTCGACCTGTGCCCGCAGCTGGGTCGTGGTGGAGGCGGGTGTCTCCTCATTCACCTCCCGAGGGACATAGCCCACAAAATTTCGGGAGGACCGGGATCAGACCTACTATCTGGTCAAATTCCTATGGCCAAGCAAGATCGGAGGTTCACCCGATATCATTTCTGGGCCTTCTTCGTGCGGTGGCGCGCCGTCCTGCATGAAGACTGCGTGACTTGGATCAGGCATCACGGCGCCTTCACAGACAAAGCCCTCGTCGCCTGTAGGGCGGGGCGCCTCTAAACATCCGCTGAGCAGGATGTTGCTCCGGTATTGTTCGCCGTTTATGGTGATTTTCTACGACTTCAAAGGCAGCTGAGACATCCGGAGAGTAGCTGAACATGCTCTGGAGTCTGGAGCTGGATATTTGCCAGTAGTGCTAACCGGAACGTCCGAGCTGCTCGCTCCCCCAACCCCCCCACTCACGGCCATTTTGACGGTTCAGAGAACGGCGACACATCCGATCAGAACACCCTCCCCAGTCTTCCTCCGACCAGTGCAGGTGCCCCGATGTGACCTTCAGGCGCTGGATCGGTTGCTTTCCCGTCGGTAATTTTAGTTTGGCAGCATCAGGAAAATTCTGTGCAGGTATTGGTGCACCACGGTATGGGCGTCTTATGTCCCGCCACGGAGGGCCTTTAACATGGTACTGAACGTTACGTTGAAAGTTTGTTTTTCTTTCAGAAACTTTTGATTAAACCCGATGAAGGGGCATTCCACGTGAAGTGGGACAAAAAATGATAATTTTGAACCTCACCTCCTCCGATTTTTACAAAACTTCGTGAAACTATTCATCTATATGTGGAAAGAAAGGAGACATTTTTTTGTCCAGATATGACGTCACGTTTCCGAGATCCACGTCATCAAACATTGACTTAGGCAAGTCACATCATTATCTTTAAAGTGTCATAACTTTAAAAGTTTTAGACATATCGAACCGTAATAAAGTTTGAAATGGAGGAAATAGATCAGGCTTTATTTTGAGGATAAAATTGATGGCGTGATTAACTAATTAGTTAGCTTAATTAAAAATAAATTATCAAATTTTGAATTTGTGAAAAATGGGTACCCTTCGATTTTGCTAATTTTTACATGTTTTATTCTCCTATACATCAGTTACATCATATAAAAAATCCAGAATGGCCCGACGTTTACGTAGCTGTCTTTTGGACTTCGTAATATCTGACACTCGCGTGTTTCGTTTTAGCAACCAAAAAGAGGCGCTACCTGGAGATGCTTCTTTCTCACCTAACTAATCCAAAGGAAACCTAACCTTACCTGACCTAATCTAACACTCATAAATATGTAAAGCCCTCACGACAGTTGCCGGCTGGTCAAATGCTACTTAGAAACGAACATTAGCCCTCACGACAGTCACCGGCTGGCCAAATGCTACTTGAAACGATTAACGAATGCGTGCTTCATGCTTGAGGCTGACCGGCCGCGAGCCCGCGACCTACAGATTACGAGGCGGGTACACTCCTCGGCACACTAACTACTAAGCCACGAAGATAGCTGGTCAATGGTCATGGTTGATGGTCGAGGTGTAAGCCAGTTTTTTAATGATGCAGTAGGGCATTCTCGGGGCGGCGCCTCTCTTTGGTTGCAAAAAGGAAATACGCCAAACTTTCCCAGCGCTAGGGGACAAGGAGGTTTAAAACTAAAAAAAAAAAAAAATTGAATGGTAGGTGGGGGTGGTGGGGAACTTTACTGTGTGTCAATTTCAGGACCCTAGATCAAAATATTCAAGGTTAAATGAGGTTAAACGTGGTCAAACTTGCCATATGAGTGACTATTTTGCGTTTATACGCCCATAACTCAAAGAGTTATGGGCCGGTTGTCCTATTTCTTTCTTTATACGACAGGGCGTACATTTTTTAGTGGGTTTTGAGAATCTCTAGTTAATCTAACCATAAATTTGGCAAGTGGCCAGCTAAGAGTAAGATGTCGCCGGCAGAGGCGGGGATCGGCCGACGCGGGAAATGTTTCAGCCACAATATTGTGTTTACACCGTATTCATTTGAATTCTTTACCAGTTGATTTTCGTATTTATTTGCACATAAGATTTGTTTATTTGTTTATTATCACCAAGACACCCACAGGCACAAAGAGCCCACTTACGGATGCAGTCACATAGCTAAAAAGGCAAACGACAAAATGCAAGAACACGTGCATAAAACTGAAAACAGAGGCTGTAGTGTAGGTATTCAATCAGCCAATGTAGCTGCCCAGAGTACGGGCGTACGTCAAAGCCTCACTCCGAAATGATGCAGACGGGTGGTAAAAGTCTACGGAGGGACTATGCGTCAGAAATTCGTTGCACACAAGAGGGATGCGCGCGGTCAGGCTGTTCTTAACAGTGTTCACTCTCCCGAATGGAATGTGAAAAAGGCTAGACGGGAATCACGTTAGCCTGTTTCCAGGCCGCAGTAAATACCCCTGACCTGACAGAAACAGAACAAATGATCTCCAGAGGGGTTGCCAATTCCACCGCACACTCGTGCAAAATTCTAGCACTGAGCCCATCGGGGCCGCACGCCTTGTGTGAGCTCAGCTCTCGCAGGAGCGTAACTATCCGCCCTCGTGGGACAGTGAACTCGTCCAGTCCAGGAGCGTTCAGCACAGGCGGAATAGGCAGTGCGTCGACCAAGGGGGTCACAAAACTTTCTAGCGAAACATGCGTTCAGGCAGTTTGCGCGTTGTTCATCGCCTTTAAAAAGATTGCCTGCACACAAGATTTGACGCGAATCGATCATAATCAGCGGTAAGAAGCGCAGTGCATAGATGGAACCGTCCCGCGCCGGCACAGTCTACCATTCAGGCGGCGAGTAACGGCCGCCGCGCCGCTCCGGCAGGATGTTTGACTTTACACCGCTATTACTATGTAGAAAAGTTGCGGATCGATTCACCTATTGCTTGCACGGGAAGATTTGCAATTTAATTTTGGACAGGTACCGAAAATAAGACGTTGATGTAATAATTACGTCGTGAGTTATTGGCAAAAACAGGTGGGGTTGGCGAAATCCGCCCCTTCCACTGCGTGTGCTGCGTTGCACTTCTTGTTGCTATACCATCCAAAGTTATTGTTGGCCTACTCTAACTTTCTCAGCACGTGTGCCTTACGTATAGAGGAAGAATATATCTTAATTTGAGCAAAATCGAAGGGTATGTACCCATTTTTCACAATTTATATTCTAAGAAATTAATTCAAAATAAAATAATTTCAAAATTGTTAAATAATGTAAAAATTGCCAAAGTTACCTAGCATAACTCATTATGTACACATTTCAGTTTGTTTGAAATGAATATCTTCAAAAATGTTGAAGCTGTAGATCTTTTAACATTGCAATACATGTCCAATTTTGCTAAAAAAAGCAGATGTTTAGCGGCTTGTATCTCTGTAACCCGAGGGCATGTGACAAAATCCTTTCACCCTCAGAGGTTTCACCCAATAGCCAATAAGTATCCAAGTTAGAACAAAATCGCAGGGGTGGCCGATTTCGGCTGTCCCGGTTGACATGGAATGCCCCTGAAGTCCATCCCCCCCCCCCATGACGTGAGGGCTATTTCGCAAGCCTACATGTCAATTGAACGAACGAAATTCAAGTAGTTTGGTTAACACAAGTGAAGTCAACAGTTACACACGTTTATTTAGTTTACCAGAGTTTATCAGATCAGTTATCATAGCAGCAGAACCTCAACTAAATGGACAAGGACACAGTCTACTGTCGAAAGAAAGGTAAATGTCATTACCTGGATCCCTTCGATGGACACTATAGCCCTCGGAACCGCCAACGATGTACTGACCTGAGCATGACGGTCCGGCCGGAGAGGAAGTCACAGACTCCCCAGACGTCTCCGAGTGGACGGTCAGCTCCCGGGCCGAGTCGTCTTCGTAGTACACCAGCAGCTCTGAACCTTTCGGGATGGGCTTTGACGTCCTGCATAGGTCGATCAATACAGTCAATACAGAATTGGTCATTAATAGCTCAGAAGTATCCATGATACCACAAGATAAACCGTGTACAAAATACGAAACGCAGTTAGGTGGTACAGATCCGTGCGGGATTGTAAGACTACAACGCACCTGAAGTATATCTGACCCCGGTACTGGAAGGCCACTAGGTTTTGTTCTTCCTCCGAGCGGGCACAGTTGACCCTTCTGAGCCAGTTGCTGCAGCTCGGGTCTTCGGCATTCACCGTGTGATGCACACGCTCACCCTTCTTCATCTGAAGTACGACAATAAAATAGCATATCAAATCTAGGAATGAAAAAATCGCATATATCATGAGACAGCATTGTCAACTTTCTGTCATTCTAATACCTATAAGTGTGAAATGATTTTAATATTCTTTAATCGTCTCGATAACTCCATAGTAATAGAAGCGACAGGTGCCGGTGTGAAAGTAATGGAACCAAAGTTCAAGTATGGCACAAAATATGAACCAGCAAGATGTTATTGCAAATAAGGACAATGGATATTCGACAGAGAAATTACCAGTGGTGGGCACTCCTAACTTGACCCCGACTTCGATAACGATAATTCGATAACCTTTTCAAGGTCGGCGACTTCGATAACGATAACTCGATGTCCAAATCGGTCACTTCGATAACGCAATAACGATAACAATAACTTCACAGAAGAAATAAATCGAAAGGATAAAATATTTGAAATGAATAAGCTTCTAATGCGAAGCAAACGAGCGAAGGAAACGAGCCATACACCCACTAGGAAAACCTATCTGGACATATTGCACGGTGCCAGACGACTGTGAGTCCAACTTGTTGGCCACTGATTGGCCACTTGCGCGGAGGCATATTGCATTCCTCGCATTCTTGGATAAGGAAAACATTCCTTTAGTAAGGATAACATTTGTCGAAAAACTTGAGTATCTTTGCCGACAGAGCTTGTTGGGCCCAAAAACGTTCCAAATAGCATTTTTCAGTGCTCAATCTACAAAACTGTTATCTTAGTTCAAAACCCCATGTTGAAGGTGAACATTCCCTTTAATACGCTCGCGTCGTATTTGATGAAGTTATCGTTATCGATTGACCGAAACGGGGACTTTGATAACGCGACTTCGATAACGGTAATCAATAACGATAAACTTGAAAGAAAGGTTATCGTCGATAACGACTTCGACAATCGTGATCGATGTGAGTTATCGAAGTGCCCACCACTAGAAATTACAAAACCAACCTGCCATCTGTACCCGGTGGTTCGAGCCTGACCCTGCTCGGTGGTCAAGATGCCCTCGTAAGGACCAAGTCTTTGGCGCACAGGAAGATCATTATCCGCAAAAACTCCTGAAATCAAATGAATGCATGTTTTCACCTCACCTTAATGAACACACAATGTACTGATTTTATAACGTTCTGCATTGCAAAAACAATAGCAAAATATTTGCAATAAATGTACAGCAGCGGTTCCTACTTGTTCAAGCCTTGTCAACTTACCGGTGCCAGACGCTGGATTTCTTGACTGACCAGAGCTGAGAGAAGGCGGCAGAGTCTTGACATCTCTTTCGGCATCTCCGATACCGGGTCGTGCCTGGAATATTCAGCGTAGGTATAATATAGGGAGCAATGTCGACCAAGAATGATGTAATGAACTAGGTAGGATGACCGTTAGCTTGTTTGGAAAGTAGCCAGGGATGTTTTGTGGATAAAGATCAACAGGGACCTGTTGTACACATGGTCGCACCCATGACAGTACTGAAAAAACTGCTGCACATGCATTAGCTACAGAACTACGTTACTATAAACAAAACTGCCCATTTCTACATGCCCATAATGTCAGTTTGTGACTTTAAAGTGACCATCCCACCTTAACATTAGTTTTGAGTTGAGATAGCCAAAATGGGGTCCCTGGCTTGGACTTACCGGTTTGAGCACTCACAACATCGACAAATGCCTCAAATCGAAAATATCTATTTCAAAGTTGCAGCACTTTGGATTCAGAGGGGCTAATGCATTTGAATACCCCTCTGAATGTTTGACGTCAGCGCAGATCCAACGATTTTAAAATGTTTGACTAAAACGTTTGATAGCACGCGGTGGTATATGCTGCTTTGCGCGCAACAAGTGCCGCACGTTCAGCTGCCAAACTATTGCTTCCAAATAAAGTCGCTAGGAACAGTGGAGATCCCAAAAAGTAAAAAAAAAGTAAAAGTCTAATATCTTGAAAACCAGTAAATATTTTTCGGTGAAATTTGGTAGATATTTGTTTTCGCTCTTTCTGAACAGAGCGACATCACTTTCATGCCAATTCATTAACTTTTTTTAAGGTGGGAGGGTCCCTTTACACCTAAATGGTCACATTCAATGTCGAAATGAGGGAGGCACACACAGGTGTAATAAAAGACACCAACTGAAGGATAATGTGTGGAGGATCCCAAACCAACAAGTTCCTTACCTTGGCATCGGGTATGACCTCCAGCGGGCCATGGACGGGACATTCTCCGTCAAAATCGCGGGAACACACGTCACAAACTGCCGGAAAGATGGGCGAATGAGTTTCTACGACTCGATGGACAATACAGTAAGATTTCATTTTGTATGTTTTTGTTTGACCAAAACAGTACGAATGACGTCTATTGTTGTTTTTATCTTTATGTAGTTTTATGAGTTCTCATCGTGTGCATTCGCCTTTTGATGAAGAAAAGTTTACTATAGTTGGTTTTTTTTTCAAAAGGACGCTGGCTCCAAGTATGTTTTTCGAACAAGCACGTGTTTTAGCGAGCAAAACGAGCAAAAACTGAACCTGAGAAAATCGAACGTAGACTAATTTTAACATGTGATTTCTTCCCGATAATTTACATGTGTGCGTTTTGGAACCAGATATGAGAACAGTGGTGACGTCATGCTGTCGAACATGTATTGAAATGTAACGTATAACTATCATGGACGGAACCGCTTACTCGATTATAAGCTCGGCAACAGTGAAAAACTAGTTTCACCCAAATTCGTTGACACTTGTCCCATTGCACGGACATTTGGGTGCCTGCTGCCACCAGTGACGTAATCATAGTGTGTACTTTTTTAAGAAACAATTTCCAGCTACTTACCGTGCGCAATTTGAAATCGATTATTTTTTCGGTAAGAAATTCTTGGCCAGACACTGAAGCTGCCAAAACTCACGTGAGAGCTTCGATATTGAACTTTGAGCCAGCGTCCTTTTGAAAAAAAAAACGAACTATAGTTAACTAAAAGAAGGGGGAATACTCACATACGTTACTATCATCAAGACCATCCACGTCCCGGTAGTTTATGACGAGACTTTGACTCTTGATGAGCCCTCCCCCAACAAAAACTGGAATAAAATGCAATTATTGGTCATGTATGATTGGACAGCGCTTCGATCACGGCCAATTCAATAGAAGGTATGACAATCTGACCACTGTTTAACTCAGTAGAGTCCAAATCCAATTAAGTATATGATAATAAACTGACATTTTCTCTGAAAAAGAGTACAAAAATAAGACTCATGATACGGTAACGGGATATGGGTAAAACCCTTTACGCATTCCTGATATAACAACTTACCTTCAACAAAGTCTTGACTGTCCGACGAAACATCTGGCAACAGATTCATTTTTCCATTGGAGATGAACCAAGCACTGAAACAAAATAAAAACGCAACAATTATGAGAATTCATCGACGGATATGGTGTCTAAAACCTTAAATACCGTAGTTTGTGCAACTTTGGCCACCAAGGGCAACTCTTGGTGGCCAAAACGGTTTGTTGCGCGAAAAAAAAAAAACGGTTTGTTTTGTTGTCAATTTTTACACTAAGGGGAAAGTGAGGCAAAACGGTCAGGGTAGCCTACCCTGACCGTCTTACCCCACTTTCCATAAAGTGTTAAACGTTACAGCAAAACAAATCGTTTTTTTTCAGTCGTGGGCCAAAGTTGCGCTTGGTGGCCAAAGTTGCGCTTGGTGGCCAAAGTTGCACGAGACGACGGTACCCACTCAAAATTCAACAACAGCACGGAGTCATGCCCTTACCTGTCCCGGTCCACCTCAGTGAACCCGATGAAGTCCTCAGACGGTGACGGCGACCGACACAGGAACTCTTCCTCCTTCACCAGAGACTGCAGAGCGCGGTCCGACAAAGGATCGTCGTCCGACCCCGAGGGAGACGACGGCCGCTCAACCTAGACCGAAGAAAGAGAAACCAGTTATGTTAAAAACAGCACGTTATTCCACCATAGATATGAAAATTGGAACACATTTTGTTTGCACATCCCTTGTATCAACATGACAGTAAAAACAGCAGTGACAAATGAGCAGCATGTATTTATGCACTTACCCTTGGTGAAGTGACTTCAATCTTTATCTCCTCCTTCACAACCGGCTCAGGGATGCCCTCGGAGCCACTGTCTATGGGAGTGGAGTCGCTCTGCTTCTGGGACTGCCTCACACACTGTGACGGACCCCATTCCTCGTCGCTGTCAGCAGAGCCCTCCCGAGACCCCTTTGGGTCTGCCGGTGTCGTTGACACAGCCCGCATGGACGGCAGTGGCTCAGACCCTGGTGGGATGGGTCCAATGTCCTTTGTCAGTTCACGTCGATCATAGCTACACCGAATCATAACAAGGCGAACCTGCTGTCATGCTTGATAAAAACGCAAAGTTGTAATATTCATGTGCTTTCCAAACTTTTCTCATAGCATCCATTTTCGTGATCCTGACTCGGAAACGTGGTTCAGCTTTTCAAAATTGGGGGCGAAGAAGCTCACTCAATTCACGGAACTACTGCAAACTTGTTTGTTTAAAAAGTGTCATTTTTTCAACAAGAAATTTTGAAATATTTACAAATAACGTTGTAGGGCAGGTTCCTGAACGCACTGCCTAGGGGCGCATTCGTGCATTTTTTTTGCGATTTATGACTTTATATGTAGTAGGTTTCACTTATGACGCTCGCCTGACTCAGTCTCGGCTGCTTGCGACATCGTGACAAGTAATCCACGCGACCTTGGTAAGGTCACGGAGGCGGGCCGATGGCCGACAGTTGGCACATTCTTGGGTATTTGATGAGGTCCTAACTACAATTGTGACGCTGTTGATACAAATATGCAACAGCAGAAATTTTAGGTTTTAGGTTAGGTTAGGTTGTTGGTTTGTAGGTTTTCGGTTGTAGGTTGGTAGGTTTGTGGGTTGTAGGTTGTTAAGTTGTAGGTTGGTAGGTTATAGGTAAGTAGGTAAGGTTAGGTCAGGTTTGATTATGTTTTTTATTTTATTTGCGAGACATGTTAGTATCATTTTTGGATTCAGGATGTCAAATAATGTAAGAATATGAAAAAATATCATTGAACTCTTCTTAGGACTTTATCTTGACATTTACCCATTCTTGTTGGCCAGCCCATTCTTTCTACATTTGTTGTGCAATGCATTGTTGTCGAAAGGAATCAAGTAAAATGACCCCCTGTCAATTTCTTTTGGTAAATTTCTGGTAATGCCCAGTAATGCCTCAAACTTTGCAGGGTGCAGGGAAGTGCCCACCCCTTGCACGAAAGTGCCCTATACATGGGGCAGGTTCGTGCAAACGTTCAGAGTTATTAAAAATCTTTTTTCTCATAGAAGCAATCATTTTAGAGGATAACTTTTAAAGAGGAAAAATATCTGCAATAGTTCCTTTCCATACTACAATCAACAATTTTGCCATCGCACCAACCAAAGAACAGATAATTGAAATCATAAAGTCTTTCTTTTGATGGAATCAAAAGTAATATAAAGTTTAATGTTAGGCATGACACGACTTTCATGTATTAACCCGCGCCCCACTGGGGTCTTTCTATAACGCGCCCCACTGGGGGGGGGGGGGAAAGCTATTTATAGCCACCCTCCTAACTCCGAAACTACTGGGCCGATTGTCAAAATTCAAACGGCGTCTGATAGCCCTGGAAAAACTGTCGAGCGAAACCTAATTTCATTGACCTCGAGGTCACCGATGACGTCACAGGTCAGGTCAAAGTAAAAATTATCGACGTTTTGGCTTCTTAACTATTTGAGCTCTGGCCGCCGGCTCAAAAGTCGGATCAGGCTCAGTTTTGGTTTACACACTCATGAATACATGTCTAAGATGCCCTTAGGGTACCAAACTTGTACTTCGAATATTTCAGGTCACGGGCAGGTTATCCTAGGTCACGGAAATATTATATTTAATCGGTCACGTGACACATGTTTTATGGTCCATTTAGGCCATAGATTTCAATATCAGTATCGTCTGTGTCATATCAGGCCATTTTCAGCTGAAAAAAGCTGAGGTCAGGTCATTTTCAGGTCAAAAGAGGTCAAATTTTAAAGTTGAAATTTTTCAACAAAAAAGGTGTCTATCAGATGCAGTTTGAGCTCAGGAACACGATGGTGCTATTTATTTTGGTGTACGATGTCAAAAACGTACCGAAAAAGTGATTTGAAAATTTGATGACGGATATTTTTACTATAAAGCGTATAACTTGGCTATTTTTGAAGATATCGGGCCAAAACTTCCTAGAGTAGGTCACCAGTATGTGTTCTATCACATATATTCCGTTTTTTTCGTAAAAGCAAAAACTTTTTTGAAAAATTTAAAATATATACTTTTTGAAAGTGTAAATGTCCAATTTTCAAAATTTTCAAAATTTTGAAAATCCGAGATAGCAATTTGATAGCCCTGTTCATTCTGAGTCCGCTCATGCAAAGAAATCGGATCTATCTTAAAAACTGAGTCTTGAGAGCGATTGCCGTAGTTCGATGTTTTGCATCAAAATCGGCCGAACATGACGTCACTCTGACGTCATTTCCGGCCGACCTATGGTAGGTAGAAAGTTATAATTTAGACACAAGGTGTCAAATTGATGCAGGCAATAGTTTGAACTCAAACTATTGAATGTGCGTATGCGATATATTTTATTATCAAAAGTGTGTTTGAAGATGTGTCCTGTATCAATTTGAAAAGTTTTGTCACTGAAGATGAATCACATATATGAATATAGGTACATTCTTGGACGATTCCGCGAAAACGAACTATTTCTATCGAGAGTTTTCAAAGGATTTCATGCATGAGGCCTTGGCCGAGTGCATGAAATTCTTCGAAAACTCGAGATAGAAATATTTTGTCGCGGTAGAGTCCTAGATATTATTTCATGTATGTTTCATAATATCGTTCGTTATCTGCTTAAAAATACCGAAATTTGCTAAAACAAAATACAGTTACATTAACTACACGTTGGGTACCTACTGAAATACAGGCAGTTTTAATTACTTAACAGACAGCAAAGCTTACAAACTTCCTTTAAAGGGACCCTCCCACCTTCAAAAAAGTTAATGAATTGGCATGAAAGTGATGTCGCTCGGTTCAGAAAGAGCGAAAACGAATATCTACCAAATTTCATCGAAAAATATTCACCGGTTTTCAAGATATTAGACTTTTACTTTTGTTTACTTTTTGGTATCTCCGCTGTTCCTAGCGACTTTATTTGAAAGTGCGGCATTTGTTGCGCGCAAAGCAGCATATACCACCGCGTGCTACCAAACGTTTTAGTAAAAGATTTAAAAATCGTTAGATCTCCGCTGACGTCACAAATTCTAAGGGGGCATACCAATGCATTAGCCCCTTAGAATCTGAAAACTGCAAGTTTGAAATTCCATAACTCCATGGATTAGGTATACTTCATCCATGATAACTCCGAATTAAAGCATTTTTCAATGTTGTGAGTGCCCAAACCGGTATTTTCAGGCCATGGCCACCAATTTGGCTATCTCAACTCAAAACTAATGTTAAGGTGGGATGGTCACTTTAAAGCAGAAGCTCCAGATGAAATCAAGCTATACAAGAAAACCATCCAAGAAAACGTCTCGTGCAATGTTTCTATTACAGTTGGGGAAACTACGAGGAGCCAAACAAAAATTGGATAAGCCAATCAGCGGCTGGAGTGGGCGGGGCGATGACCATATATGGTCATAAAATCAGACTTCATCTTTTCAATGAATTTTAGCATTCAAATGAAAAAATAAGGCATAAGAATGTTTTTTAACCACACAAGGCCTACACTCACCCGGTGCATGATTAATTGGCGGCTCTAAATCGCAGAGTTACAACGCAAGGTCAAACCGTGATTAGCAAATATGGCGGATTGAAACAGACGCGCCAAAAAATGTAAGCAGTACCGTGGCTTAAAAAATGTCATTATTTTTATTATTTTGTTTATGGTTTTTCTAATTGTGGTTAAGTTATTATTTTAAAATTAAATGTCTTTGTTTATTGTAACTTAACTAAATCTTTTAACAATTTTACAATCAATTTAACAATTTTTTTTTCTTTTAAGGAGATAAAGATTGAACTATCTGTAAGAATCTTGGAACTACCGACCAATTAGTCTCACATCCATCGTATGTAAAGTCATGGAAGCTATCATGAGAGACAAGATAATGAGCCATCTCACAATGAGCAACTTGCTTAGTCCCCACCAGCATGGTTTTCGCCCTCGCCGATCTTGTAGTACCCAGATGCTGGAAGCTATGGACATCTGGACCCAGACGATTGAGGCCAAGCAGCCACTGGACGCCGTGTATCTAGACTTCAAGAAGGCTTTCGACTCTGTGCCTCATGGTTCCGGTAGACTCCTGTTGAAGCTGGAGACTTACGGCATAGTTGGCAAGACTCTGGACTGGGTAAGAGCCTTCCTTGCTGACAGAACCCAGCAGGTCGTAGTCGAAGGGGTCAAGTCCACAAGATCAACTGTAACCAGTGGAGTGCCACAGGGCTCTGTCTTGGGACCTCTTCTGTTTCTGCTCTATATCAACGACTTACCTGGCCACATCTCGTCCTCCATCAAGCTGTTTGCTGATGATTGCAAAGTGTTTCGCCCTGTGCACTCCCCAGAGGCTAGAGACGTGCTCCAAACCGATTTAAATGAACTTGGAAACTGGTCGCAACTGTGGCAGCTTCCGTTCAACTTGGATAAGTGTCACGTACTACACCTTGGCCCTGGAAACCAGAACGCGACATACACAATGCTGGGGAGACCATTGGAGGCCACGGAGAGTGAGAAGGACCTGGGAATAGTTGTCGACGGGTCGCTCGACTTTCACCAGCAGACCGCAGCAGCTGTTGCTAGGGCAAACAGGGTTCTGGGCCTGGTTAAGAAATCGTTCGTGAACCTCGACGCGAAGTCTCTGCCCTTGCTTTTCAAGTCCCTGATTCGGCCTCACTTGGAGTTTAGCAACTGCATCTGGGGCCCCTACTCGATAGGCGACCAAAAGCTGGTTGAGAGGGTGCAGCGCAGAGCAACGAAGCTGGTGCCAGAGCTGCGTACGAAGCCTTACTCTACGAGACTGCGTCTGCTTGGTTTACCGTCGCTGACGTACCGCCGACGACGGGGCGACATGATCGTCATCTACCAGATCCTCCACGACGCGATGGACGTTGACGATGAACTTCTTCGCCTGTCCGAGACTGGGATCACGCGGAGTCACGGCTTCAAGCTCCACAAGCCCCAAGCCATCTCTAGAGCAAGACGGAACTTCCTCAGCGTCAGAGTGGTCAACAGTTGGAACAGTCTGCCTCTACACGTCGTTGCTGCACCCTCTGTCAACACCTTTAAATCCCGACTGGACATCCACTGGGAAGCTATCCGCTTCTCCTCTGCCTTCGACGACCAGTAACCTTCCACGAGCTAGTACTTAGAGTAAAGATCCGGACCAACAGGTCTACACAGGCCTCTAAATTCCGTGTACTCCTAAGGTAAGGTAAGGTAAGGTAATTTTCTTTCATAAAACCAATCCATTTATTGAATGGCCAGCTGATTGTGACGCCCAGAACCTGCAGAAAAGCCGTTTTCCTATCGTCATTTTCGAGTCAATTCGCCGAATGTAATCAAATCACGCTAATTCCTAGTGAAAAATGGAAGCCTTTTCTCTCCAATAAGTGGACGCGATACCGCAAGTACCAGCTTGTTATACCGTTTTTCACCCTTAGTAGCGGGGGCTGCATTTATGCCCATATATGGTCATCAAAAGTCCATTTATTGACCAATCCATTTTTTGACATTCGCCTCGTAGTTTCCCCAACTGATTATAGCCCTGATCGGCGGCCGGCTAGTACTCTTGCCCGCGCTCACATACGTGCACGTTACCCCGACAACGGGCTATTGACCAATGAGAAGCGAGAAAAGTGTTACGTCACTGCGATTTTTCATATACCTGTGCCCCCCGGACGTGACGTAGTGTGCTCGCGCGCGTGCAGGGTCTCTGCGATCGAAAAATAGCGCTAGCAGCGCGCCACTCGACGCCGCAATTGTCAAAAGCGGCGTGTTAGTATGCTTTATTATGAATGATGTGTGTAAAAGTGAGTTTTTATGTTGTTAATTTGGAGGAAATGGTTGGAATAAAATAAGTGATTTTTATTTCTATTGGTTGGAGTTTTTATTCAAAAGATTTCGGTCTATAGCATTGATATTTACTGAAAATACATTCGTTTGAATTAATTGCAGATATTTGGCAACTGAAGTGTTAGGTAAGCATAAATGATACGTAAAAAGGTAAGAGACACCCTGATTATCATTTGAGAAACGAAAATATATGAATTTCCCTTATAAGACTCGCTCAATATCCTACTCCGCGGTTTATGCCCCGAGGGTGTCCGACGGTTCCCGTTAGTTTGTCGTTGGCGCCGGCTCGCGCGCGAGCCGACGTCATCGCCCGTGACGTCGGCTCGCGGAATGCGTCATACCCTGCACACAAAATAGCCGGCTGCCGAACAGCGCTCTGTAGCGCCACTATATATGGCCTTGAGCGCGCCACTCGACGCCGCAATTGTCTAAAGCGGCGTGTTAGTAGGTACGCTTTATTATGAATGATGTGTGTAAAAGTGAGTTTTTATGTCGTTAATTTAGAGGAAATGGTTTGAATAAAATAAGTTATTTTTATTTCTATTGGTTGGAGTTTTTATTCAAAAGATTTCGGTCTATAGCATTGATATTTACTGAAAATACCTTCGTTTGAATAAATTGCAGATATTTGGCAACTGAAGTGTTAGGTAAGCCTAAATGATACGTAAAAAGGTAAGAGACACCCTGATTATCATTTGAGAAAAGAAAATATATGAATTTCCCTTATCAGACTCGCTCAATACGCTACTCCGCGGTTTATGCCCCGAGGGTGTCCGAGGGTCCCCGTTAGTTTGTCGTTGGCGCTCGGCTCGCGCGCGAGCCGACGTCATCGCCCGTGACGTCGGCTCGCGGAATGCGTCATACCCTGCACACAAAATAGCCGGCTGCCGAACAGCGCGATTGCATTGCAGCACTGCATCAAACATATAGGAATTTATCCATTTTTAGCGCGAATGTGCCACCCACTCTACCCTGCCCCAAACGGTATGGGTAACTGCAGGCCAGGGACCCCATTTTGGCTATCTTAACTCAAAACTAATGTTAAGGTGGGATGGTCACTTTAGGTAAATATATACCATTACCTGGGTATCGTGCAAACAGGGTAGGTACTGTTTTTCAAATCCAACACTGCACTGCTGTATTGGTGCAGCATTTGAAACGAGCTTGGTTCAAAGTTCCAGCATAGAGTGTCTGATGAGGTTGTTAATGTTTTCATTTAAGCCCAATACCATGCTACGACTATCTGTAAGAATCTTAGCTACGACCGCACAGTGCCTCAAAAAAGGGCCCCCATAGTCATACATAGGTATCTACCTCATTGTACTCAACATTTCTCCAAAGACCACAACAGCTCACCTTGCTGATCCATCTCAACAGTAGCGGCAGAACAATTTCAATAAAAGGGGGGCACTGCCGATTTTTGGTCCCATTCTTTCCATGCAACGCCCATTGGGCTAATGTTAAAATACCAAAATCAAGGGGGGGCCCGGTGCCCCCCCCCCGTTCCGCCGCCTATGCATCTTAATCTTGATATCAAGACCACTCCAACCTGGGACAGGACTCCTTCTCATTCTCAATCTCAGCATATATTTCAATTTCGCACCACGGTTCGATGGAAAAAATATGCAAAGGCATTCAATTCTTCCTTCAACCTATTAAAACAAACAGGAATAAAAGATCCACAAAATCTACCTACCATCAGACACGGCAGTCAACACGGATGACTGTGAAAACAGGGCGCCTGGGGCGATTTGATCAAGACTCTTGAAAGTTGAAATTCACTCGTGACAATCAGCATGATGACTGCACAGTGCCTAAAAAAAGGGCCCCCATAGTCATACATAGGTATCTACCTCATTGTACCCAACATTTCTACAAAGACCACAACAGCTCACCTTGCTGATCCCAGTTGGTGACATACCAGGGAAATAAGCTAAAATTAGAGCGCTCTATTTATTGCTCCTGCCCCATGTTGAAGAGATACCCCTAAAAGCGTGATCTTTTATCGGCCCTTACGCAGCAAGGCAGTACTTCTCAGACCGGTGGATGGTATCAATAGAAAGAGAATGCGTCAAAGATTAACGTGAATTAATTAAAATAACATTAAAATGTTAATTAAGCGTGGAAATTAGTCCCAAACGTAAGCTAATTATTGTTCCTACCTCGGCGACGGCGCTCCCCGCAGATATTCGAATCCAGTATGAGTAGAGCATGGGTCCCGAAAAATTCTTCAGAAACTAGAGAAATTCTCGCACTGACCAATAAGGACATTCAGGGGAACATTATCGCCCTGGCCAGTAAAAGGGCTAACTTTGCATGGTCCTTCAAAGGGACCCTCCCACCTTAACATTAGTTTTGAGTTGAGATAGCCAAGTTTGCGGCCAGGCTCAGAAACCACCATTTATCCTGGTCGCAACCCCCGCAGCTTTATGGTGTTCAAGAAATTTCTTCCCTTTACTTGCAGGGTGGGACCAGCGTGGTCCCTATCTCTTAACCATTACGGGAATCTGATGACGTCATCAGGCTTTCGAACGTCCGTTAAATGTTTGACTAAAACGTTTTGTAGCACGCGGTGGTATATGCTGCGTTGCGCGCAACAAATGCCGCACTTTTAAATAAAGTCGCTAGGAACAGCGGAGATCCCAAAAAGTAAACAAAAGTAAAAGTCTAATATCTTGAAAACCGGTGAATATTTTTCGGTGAAATTTGGTAGATATTCGTTTTCGCTCTTTCTGAACCGAGCGACATCACTTTCATGCCAATTCATAAACTTTTTTGAAGGTGGGAGGGTCCCTTTAACCCGGCAGGCGGTGGGCCTACCAGCCACCTTCCGCGCGGTGGGGGGGGGGGGCACTTTTTTGCCCCCCCCCCCCCGTATCTCCGAAACTACTGGACGGATCCGGAAAATTGAAACGGCGTTCGATAGCCCTGTCAAATTTGTCGAAGGAAACCATATTTCATTGACCTCGGGGTCACCGATGACGTCACAGGTCAGGTCAAAGATGAAATGTTTCACCGTTCACGGGACTTCTAGGGAAAGCGCTATAACACCGAGTAAAACGCATTTTGTCGAAAATCAGCGATAAGGCGTCAGTTGTCTAGTACATATGTTGCTATTAGAGGTCACTGGTTATCAGTGGCGGTCGCAGGGGGGGGGGCCATCAGGGCCATGGCCCCCCCCCCCCCAAAGGCAAATCAGGGGGGGGGGCCATCATATCATTTGGCCCCCCCCAAACAACCGATGGGCCCCCATGGCCGTATGGGGCCCTGGCCCGTATTCGATTGTCACGAGGCTCGAGAAACCCACGCCAGCCATTAACAGCTCCCATACCAGTCTTTGAGGGTCCTACACTGACCTCTGAGGGCCCTTCAGTGGCGGTCAATCGTCCACATTGACCGCTGAGGACCCACATTGACCTCTGAGGGCTCTCCACTGGCCTTTGAGGGCCCCTAAACCGGCCTCAGGGGCCCAACCGGCCTCTGGTGGCCTCATTTCTGTCTCTCGAGTCCCAAGACTAACCTTTAAGTGTCTCTGAGGGCCCCGCACTGGATTCTGAAGACCCGATGCCGGCCTCTGAGAGCCCGCATCGGCGTCTGAGGGCCCATATTGGCCTTTAAGGGCCCTCCGCTGGCCTCTGGGGTCCAACGCCGGCCCATACCGGTCTTTTAGGGCCCCACATTGACCTGAGGGCCGCATGCTGGCCTGTAAAGGCCCACATTAGCCTCTGAGGGCCCCCCGCACTGGAATCTGAAGACCCGATGCCGGCCTCTAATGGTCAGCATCGGCTTCTGAGGGCCCATATTGGCCTTTGAGGGCCTTCTGTTGGCCTCTGGAGTCCAACGCCGGCCCATGCCGATCTTTTAGGGCCTCACACTGACTTCTGAGGGCCCGTGCTGTCCTGTAAGGACACACCTTAGCCTCTGAGGGCCCCGCACGGGCTTCTGAAGACCTGATGCCGGCCTCTAAGGGCCCGCATCGGCCTCTGAGGGCCCATCTTGGCCTTTGAGGGCCCTCTACTGGCCTCTGGGGTCCAACGCCGGCCCATGTCGGTCTTTTATGGCCCCACGCTAACCTCTGAGGGCTTCATGCTGGCCTGTAAAGACCCACATTAGATTAGCCTCTGAGTGCCCAATTCGGTCTCTGATGGTCTCAAACTGCCCTTTGGAGGCCCTGCACTGGTCTCTGAGGGCCCTAAACTGGCCCCTAAGGGCCCAAACCAGCCTCTAAAGGTCCCACACCGGCCTCTGATGGTCCCATTTCTGTCTCTGGGACCCAAACTGACCCTTATGTGCCTCTGAGGGCCCCGTACTGGCTTCTGAAGGATCGATGCCGGTTTCTGAGGACCCATAACGGTCTTTAAGTGCCTCATACCGACACCTGAGGCCCCACACTAGCCTCTGAGGGGGCCCAAAACTGGCCTATGTGTTCTCTACACCGGCCACTGATGGCCCTGTGTTCTCTGGGGGCTCAAGCCTTACCTTTGGACGTCACGCACTTGCCTCTGAAGGCCCACATTAGCCTCTGGGGCCCTACCTGGGGCCTTTGAGGCCCTTCGCTGACCCTTGGATCCAACGCCGGCCTCTGGGGGTCTGACACCGTACTATAAGGGCCCCATTGCAGCATCTAGGCGATAGGTATCGCCGAAGCGCTATCGATGGGCCCATAAGTGTAGGAACCATGGGTGCAGTGGGCGCAGTTGCACCAACAATAATTCTGCATAGGGTGCAGACAATGTATTCTGCATCCACAATAATCTGGAACAAACCCCCTTTTCTCAGCAACACTACTTTCCATGCAGCACGACAAATTTAGGATATTTTGCCCACTATCCATCTTTCGAAGCATTTGCTACTGTAATGGTCTTCAAAACTTACATTTGTGCTCAAGTAGGTACACTCGGGGGCAGACTGATGTTCCACCACTCCCTACCTATCGGGCTCCCATGGCTCAGCACTGGCTGCTGCCAGTGGCAGCACTGGCAGCACTGGCACTGGCAGGCAGTGCTGAGCAGTGCTGAGAGCAGGCAACACTGGCAGCTCAGCCAGTGCTGAGCCATGGGAGCCCGGTGGGTAGGGAGTGGTGGAACATCAATCTGCCCCCGAGTGTACCTAAAAAACAAAAATGAAACGGAACACGTGTGATTGAACAGTGAACAGATACCTACCGATGACCCACTGTCAAAAGTTTTAGCACGATGATCTCAGAAAATGGCAAAGTTAGCCGTCTTTACTTTTGCGGTAGTCCATTCACATTTGCGTGAGTTATTGGCATTATCAATGCTTTAAAATGCACTTATCGGTACCTTTTCGACATGGAACATCCTCAAAGCTCGCAATGAGCCTCCGCTCGGGTGCCGCTCCCTACCCCCCCCCCCCCCCGCTTCACCGGCCATGGCCTGGATTTCTGCACCCGTGCACTACGCCCGTGGGCCCCTTTAAGCTAGCCCGGGCCCCCCGGGTCAGCGCAGGGGCCCCTTTGCCAAGTTGGCCCCCCCCCAAACTCCAAGTCTGCGACCGCCCCTGCTGGTTATACCAGGTCAGGTCACAGGTCAGGTCACCAAAGGTCACCAAGGGTCACCACATGAGCCCAACTTTACTAAGGTTATGCGATGCATGTTTAATGGCCAGTTTTTCATTTCCAACTCAATGGTGTTGGTTATAAGACCATCAGGTACGGTTTAGGTCACTTTCTGGTGGAGGTCAGGTCAAGGTCAGGTCAAAAAAGGTCAAATTTCAAAGTTGATATTTTTGCATAAAATGGGTATCGAGTCGATGCAGCTCGTCACGGGGAGTCTAACGGTGGTCTTTGTTTTGCGCTACGAGGTCTAGAATTGCTAAAAATTGAGTTTGAAAATTTGACGTCATCAATTTTGAACAGCTTTTTCGCTATAACTTGGCCAAAAAAAAGAGGTATCGATCTCAAATTTGGTATGTAGATAGAAGGCGGTAGGGGCTATTACATATATTCCGTTTTTTTTCGAAATTCAAATTTGTTTTTGGATTTTTTGTTTATTATATTCAAAAAATCTATTTTTTGATTTTTGGGGGTCAAAATCCAAAAAACTCGAAAAAACCGAAATAGCAGTTTTGTAGCCCTTTTAATTCCACACCTTTTATATTTGAAACATTTTTCTGTATCTCTAAAGCTGTAGGCCTGACAGCTCTTCCCGCGAAACCTTTTTTTGGGTCGAAAATGGCAAAAATGAGGTCACTCTGACGTCATTAGCAGCCAACCTATCATAGCCTTTGGAAACATTTTTGGTCACCATGTGCGCTAGCTGCTCCCGGGAGGGTACTGAAAGTTTGGTGACGATTGGCGCAGCGGTTCTCGAGATATATCGAAAAAACTAAAGGGGGGGGGGCAAAAAAATGCCCCCCCCTACCGCCTGGAAGGTTAATGCATTATTTCACGTGGCGCAATTAAGGCATGCTGTGCCTAAATGCCTCTTTTGTAGGGGTTAGGAAAACCGTAATTTGTTCCAATAAAATGTACTTTAATTATAAGAGTGGAGGTAGATTTAACAAGAAAAATGTTCATCGGTCGTTATTAAGCAGAGACCGCATTCACCAGACACATTGCTTAAGCACAGGTTAAGTTTCTGCTTAAGCGGGCGCATAATGGTAACTCTTCCCTACCTATTAATTTGAGGACTCGTTTTAGGGCCTTGGGCGGGCGGCCGGGCGGATGGAAAGACAGATAGACGGACGGACGAACATCCGGAGAGACGGACGGACGGACGGATGGAGAAACGGACGGACGGAGAGACGGATGAACGGACGGACGGACGGACGGACGAAGAGACTGACGGACGGACAGACGGACAGAGGGACTGACGGATGGACGGACGGATGGAGAAACGGACGGACGGATGGACGGACTGAGAGACGGAAGGGCGGACGGACGGACGGACGGATGGAGAGACGAACGGACGGATGGACGTATTGAGAGACGGAAGGGCGGGCGGACGGACGGAGAGACGGACAAAGAGATGGACAGACGGACGGGTACAGAGAGAGAGAGAGAGAGAGAGAGAGAGAGAGAGAGAGAGAGAGAGAGAGAGAGAGAGAGAGAGAGAGAGAGAGAGAGAGAGAGAGAGAGAGAGAGAGAGAGAGAGAGAGAGAGAGAGAGAGAGAGAGAGAGAGAGAGAGAGAGAGAGAGAGAGAGAGAGAGAGAGAGAGAGAGAGAGAGAGAGAGAGAGAGAGAGAGAGAGAGAGAGAGAGAGGAGAGAGAGAGAGAGAGAGAGAGAGAGAGAGAGAGAGAGAGAGAGAGAGAGAGAGAGAGAGAGAGAGAGAGAGAGAGAGAGAGAGAGAGAGAGAGAGAGAGAGAGAGAGAGAGAGAGAGAGAGAGAGAGAGAGAGAGAGAGAGAGAGAGAGAGAGAGAGAGAGAGAGAGAGAGAGAGAGAGAGAGAGAGAGAGAGAGAGAGAGAGAGAGAGAGAGAGAGAGAGAGAGAGAGAGAGAGAGAGAGAGAGAGAGAGAGAGAGAGAGAGAGAGAGAGAGAGAGAGAGAGAGAGAGAGAGAGAGAGAGAGAGAGAGAGAGAGAGAGAGAGAGAGAGAGAGAGAGAGAGAGAGGAGAGAGAGAGAGAGAGAGAGAGAGAGAGAGAGAGAGAGAGAGAGAGAGAGAGAGAGAGAGAGAGAGAGAGAGAGAGAGAGAGAGAGAGAGAGAGAGAGAGAGAGAGAGAGAGAGAGAGAGAGAGAGAGAGAGAGAGAGAGAGAGAGAGAGAGAGAGAGAGAGAGAGAGAGAGAGAGAGAGAGAGAGAGAGAGAGAGAGAGAGAGAGAGAGAGAGAGAGAGATATGGATATTACTTGTCAGAGACTCGGGGAGGACGGGAAGGAGACTGATACCTACAGAGAGGAAAGATGAGTGAGCAAGGGGTTTGTGAGATAGGTAAGCAGACGGGGGAAAAATGATATTTTATTGCTCCGGTCCTAATAACACTTCCCAAAATAAAATAAAATTGGCCGAAATTATCGAATAAGAATCGGAATTTGTCAATTGAACGTTTGATTTCCTTACATCAATCCGCCCTACACCCTGTTTGACATGCCTGCACCAAAGCCAACTTGCAGGCTATACATCGAGCCAGTGGTATATACTATACATCTCTCCCGGTGGTATACCTGCATAGAGCCGAGACCTCCGGCCGTATTTTCCCATGATCAGCCGGATTGCAAAGCCGTGTATTTTTCGTACGTGGCAGGCGACCGGCGCAATCTCCGTGAAAGAAGTGCCCCAGTAACAAAAGCACGAGCAGATCGCCTAAATGCCGGTGGCCGCGAGAATTTCTCTAGTTTCTGAAGAATTTTTCGGGACCCATGCTCTACTCGCTCTACTCATACTGGATGCAGTGTTTTTATATACCTTGACTGGATGATGGCCTTGACTGGATGCGAATATACGCTCACGATGCCACGGTGCACGCCTGCCCCCCCCCCCCCCAAGAAACCCCGCGAGCAAGATCTTGAGCAAGATACCCGCGAGAAAGAAACGGCGCCTTATTCCTTGCCTTATTCCCAGTGAGTGACAAATCAAAATACCCATTGCAAAGTGTGAAAAATTCGCAGACACAAGAGACTTATCCACAACAATGAACGACGGTGCCACAGAGAGCTGCTCTCAGATTTTGAGGGTGAAGGAGGAGGTGAAAGAAGAGGTAGGTGCAAATTGTAGGTATTTTTTATTTGAGTAGCATGAATCTCTTCTTGCATGGCGATAACATTGAAAATACTTTGATTTGATCTCCTTTTTGTTATCAATTTGCCGAAAGGCCAACAACATAGGTATGTGGTTTAGAGAAGTCAGATATTGATATAAGGTTGAACAGTGTGGCTGCATGCTTTGTAATTTGTGTATATTGTATTGTGCTGCTTCATTTGCAGTTTTTATCTGTCTACCTTCCATAGGATTTGTCAGCACCAGAGGATGGTTCTTCAGCAGACGAATGCCTGATGCTTCAGGAGCCGCAAGAGAGGTAGGTTGCGGCAAGGCTGATTGGGTAAATGTCAAGTTAAAGTTTGGATAACTTTTCTTAGTTAAATTTTTGAAATTTTTACTTTATTTGACATCCTGAATCTAAAAATGATATATGTCCCATAAATACAAAACAAAAATTGAACCTGACCTAACCTTACCTACTTACCTACCTACAACCTAAAAGTAAAAACATACCACCTACCAACCATGTCCATCAAGACAGCCCATATTCAGCCCGGATTCAGCCCATATTCGGGACACCTCAGATCAAGCTGAAACTTGCACACAATAGAGGTTTTGACATGTACGATCCACAGCCCAAGCCGTTCAGTGTCACAACCAGCCGTTTGACCTACAGAGGTCAGCAAAGGTCACTTGGCCCAAATTTCCACAGCAGATTGTGGCCCACCCAGTAGAGCTAGAGTGCTAAAAATCTCACCAATGACTCGCCAGCATCTAATCTTACTTTCCCATTACCCATTTGACCTCGAGGTCATGCAATGACCTAAGGTCATTTGTGGGCTATGTAGAAAATACACTTGCACAGCAGTTCTCAAGTAGAAGGATTGACCGAATTCCAGATCAAAGCACATCATCACACATCATCATCTACGTCCATAGATCCTAGTAACTTTCCATAAATACCGCTTCTCGATATGTGACCCTTTTGACCTCGGCAGGGCAAAATGTACAAATAAACGACACTCCATACGTCGCAGCCCGGATTCAGCCCAGATTCGGGACAATTCAGATCAAGCTGAAACTTGCGCACAATAGAGGCTTTGACATGTATAGTCTCTCTCAGTATGTCCAAAATTGTAATGTTGCGGGGAAATCCACCCATAATCAAAAGTAAAATGACATCCTAAAATATAAATAATAACATCCTTACGACTTAAAACAACAATGCTCTGAGCCAAAATGTTCAAATATATGACCAGACTTTAACAGTTCGTCTTTATCATCCCGATAACCAAACATCAGAAAGCTTTTAAAGTTTTATCGGTGCTTAATATTTCTACATCTTTTTCTAGTTATAACTGTAAAAAAAACAGCGCCTAAAATGCCACGATAGTCAAGTTTTGTGAAAATAATGACATCATCTACTGGCTCTTTTCTACATCCTCCCCCCTAACGCAAAATGAATTTTGCCACACTGGTCTCTCTTGAAAGTATCGCGTCATGGGCTGCGGCGGCTCGGGGAACTATTCCATTCAGTTTGAGGACCCCAGCAGTGAGGTCAAGGCCTGTATCATAAAACGTACGCTGTATATAACACGATTCTACGCCAGTGGTAGGAGGAAAACTGCTATATGACACAGGCACCAGCGGCTGACAACTGGGTCAAAACAGGTGGAGGCCGGCCAAAGGTCATGCTCGTATCGCTCTACCTTGACCCCGTCCACCGCCCCAGGCGGATACCGGTGCCGCTTGGGTTCACCAGCCGGGCGCTCATTGGTCTGCCTTAGTGGGCGCCAATCACTCAGTGTGCGTGACGCGTAAAATGATAACGAAGCAAAGTTCTGCCATAGCCCTGCTGTAGAGAGACCTTCTGAACGACGTAAACAGGTCATGAGAGAGTGTAGGGCTTTTAAAAAGAAGACGGCTGAACGGTAAATATTTTTTTTATCGCCGCTCACCAACCGGTTCATTCAAAATAGAGGACTTCAAATATAGGACAAATTGGCTAAAGAGCGAATGGGCGAATTGGCTAAAGATATTTTTGTTATTTGAATAGGCTCGTGGGTGCATTTGTTGCCACGGAATACGGATGCATTATGTTAGCGGGTGCACTGATAATTTTATTTTCGTTTTTGGGCACGGGTTTCCGGATTTTACAAAAAAAAAAAAAAACTGACAATTGTGCCGATGAACGGTAAACTTGGTTAACTTTGCAATGAAACAAATTTTAACAAATCCTCTGCGGGCAGGGTAGCTTCCGTTGACGACATGCCATCTGCCATCACAAGCTTCCGGACGGCGACCACCCCATCCCCCATCCCTCAGCAACCACTCCCCTCGGCCCGCCGCGCTGGCTGCCTCCGCGAGGCTTCGGTCAGTGCTACCAGCGGCTCTCAAACTTTTCCGCTCGACCGCGGCTGGGACAGGTGGCGCCTTCCCTCAGAGTCGCGATACTTTCAAGAGAGACTATACAATCCACAGCCTGAGCTGTTCGGTGTCACACCCAGCCGTTTGACCTACAGAGGTCAGCAAAGGTCATTTGGCCCAAACCTGCACAGCCGATTGTGGCCCACCCGGTAGAGCTAGAGCGCTAAAAATGCTACCAATCGACTCGCCAGCATCTAATCTTACTTTCCCAATACCCATTTGACCTCTAAAGGTCATGCGATGACCTAAGGTCATTTGTGGCTATGTTGAAAATACACTTGCACAGCAGTTCTCGAGTAGAAGGATTGACCGAATTCCAAATCAAAGCACATCATCGGGTAGCCCATAGGCCGTAGTAACTTTCCTTGAAAGCCGCTTCTCGATATGTGATCCCGTTTGACCTCGGCAGGGCAAAATGTACAAATAAACGACACTCCATACATCGCAGCCCGGATTCAGCCCAGATTCGGGACATCTCAGATCAAGCTGAAACTTGCACAAAATAGAGGCTTTGACATGTATTGTACAATCCACAGCCCGAGCCGTTCGGTGTCACACCCAGCCGTTTAACCTACAGAGGTCAGCAAAGGTCACGTTGCCCAAATCTGCACAGCAGATTGTGGCCCACCCAGTAGAGCTAGAACGCTAAAAATGGCATCAATCGACTCGCCAGCATCTAATCTTACTTTCCCAATACCCATTTGACCTCTCAAGGTCATGCAATGACGTAAGGTCATTTGTAGCTATGTTTAAAATACACTTACATTTTGAAAATACATTTTGCCCTGCCGAGGTCAAACGGGGTAACATATCGAGAAGCGGTTTTTAAAGTGACCATCCCATCTTAACCCGCGCGGGCCCGGGGCGGGCGTTTTTCGCCCCCCCCCCCCCTGGCGAATATTTGCGATAACTCCCGAACGCTTAGGGATAGGAAAGCGAAACTTTCAGTACCTTTTCTCCCATCGATTTGACATCTTCTGAAGTAAAAAATTTGGACCTAGCTCCCTTGATGACGTCACAGGGCTGATTTTTCTAGACCCCTGCACGGCAAATTTCGGCGTCACAGACGCGAACTTCAAATAGCTGCTAAAAATAGAATTTTAGAGATAAAGACAAATTACGAGCACGGTTGTGTAGCATTTGACCTAGAGAAAAATATAAAAATAGTTTTGGTGACCTGAGGTCAGAGGTCAGGTCAACGACCCCCGAGCAGTGGTTTTAGTTTTTCGCAAATAACTTCGACAAAAATGGCCCTAGAGCTACGGCAGTGGTACCAACGCATTCGCCTTGGCAAACCGCGTCGAATGATAGGTATATATTTTGTTTGAAAAAGGTCAAGTTTTATGTTGACCTCATGTTGTCTCGAATGACCTTTGGCTGACCGTGGCTTATGAAAGGTCGTTTATGATGGATTCGTACCCGCTGATCACGAATCTGGCATCTATTTTCCTCTAAGCCTTCATTTAGAGCCTCCGGATGGCAAAATTGTCTTATTTATCATTACTAGCTAGAATCAGTGAAATAGCCCCTAGCAAGGATACTCTTCTGTGACCTTGACCTTTGAGCAGCCTTGTATCGTACGATGAACCACAAGTAGGGACCTGATAAGCCTCAAAACATTTCAAAACATATTGGAAGTTATCACGCAAGATGTACGAAAAAGTGCAAAGTTTGAGGTCAATTTAGAGCATGACCTTGACCTTGACTTTTGATTTTGAGCACATTTTCGGAATCCTTAAATTCTCTTCTTTCGTTTGACACCCAATTTTGCCGTTTTTTTTTTTGCATCCTGTCGTCCTTTAGAACGCTTACTTTGAGATCACTACACATGGCCGGTTTTTTCCTTTGACCTTGACCTCTGACCTTGAAAATTAACCTGAGGTAAAAAATTTTAGGTGCTTTAGAATCGTCTTGTAAGGAACTTTCGTTTGGTATCGCTTTCGTTTCCGTAGCTCCCTTATTTACGGAGTTAGACAAGGGGGGGGGGGGCGAAAAACGCCCCCCCGGGCTGCGGTGGTTGGGATTACCCCCGGGCCCGGCCGGGTTAACATTAGTTTTGACTTGAGATAGCCAAATTGGTGGCCCTGGCCTGCAAATACCGGTTTAGGCACTCACGACATCGAAAAATGCTTAATTCGGACTTCGGAGATATGGAAGTTCAAACCTGCAGTTTTCGGATTCTAAGGGGCTAATGCATTGGAATGCCCCCTTAGAATTTGTGACGTCAGCGAAGATCTAACGATTTTTAAATCTTAGACTAAAACCATCGTTAACACGTGGTGGGGACGACGGTGAAAACAGGGCGCCTGGGGCGATTTGATCAAGGCTCTTAAAATTCACTCGTGACAATCAGCCTCTACAAGGCGTGGAGAGGGGGAGAACTTCTTAATAGTCACGTGACTAATATGCCCTCCGGCGCCCTGTTTTCACCGGCGTCCCGTGGTGGTATACACTGCTTTGCGCGCAACGTCTGCCGCACTTCAAGGCTGCCAAACTATTGTTTCCAAATAAAGTCGCTAGGAACAGGGGAACTTTTTTTAAGGTGGGAGGGTCCCTTTAAGGAAAGTTTTTTTCAGCCTTTATTGCATTTAGCCTTTATTGTGTGCAAGTTTCAGCTTGACCTGAGGTGTTCCGAATCTGGACTGAATCCGGGCTGCGATGCATGGAGTGTCGTTTATTTGTACATTTTGCCCTGCCGAGGTCGAACTGGGTCACATATCGAGAAGCGGTTTTTAAGGAAAGTTACTACGGCCGGCCAGTGGCGTATCCAAGAGGCCATGGCCTCCCCCTTTGGCATCAAACATGCAAGTGGGCCCTTTGGGTCGCTTGAGTGCAGTGACGTACCCAAGGGGAGCCACGGGGGCCCTGAGGGGCCCCTGGTTACCTGAG